AATTACTGAGACCCCAGGAAAATACAGTGGAGACTTCGTGGAGCAATTTAAAATATTCCATAATGAGCTTAAAGATTTCTTTAATGCTGGAAGGTACAATATTTCTGGAACCAAACCTATTCTTTTATCTGATTAACTTGCTAGATGATAGTCCCATGTACTGTAGGATTCAATAGCTCTTTTATCTTGTTGCAGCCTCACTGAACAACTTGATTCTATGAAAATTTCCATGGACGATAGAGGTCTTTCTGCGCTCAATTTGTTTTTTGAATGTAAAAAGGCAAGCTCTCACTTTTCTTTTACCTGTGATTCGGTGCTTTTTGCGGGAAATATGAAATATTTATTGGGTTTTCTTGCATGATCTTCTGAAGTGGTAGAATTATTAGCCACCATAAGATGCAGATCAAAGTAATAGACAACCCATCCTTGGTTTTGTTCTCTGTTCTAATAAAAGGAAAAAAAAATCAATCCCAAGGGCTAAGGGGGATGTACTTTTAGAAAAGCCACAAAAGGAGAAATGTTTGAGACATGCTGATATATATTTGTCCATACAATCACATCATTTGATAAATTGTGCATGTTATACACAATCTTTGCAATTTTTTTTTAATTGTACTCTCTTCATGAGACTGACTGCGAAATTCATATTTCCAGCGTCTTGACGCATCTGGAGAATCAAGCAATGTTTTGGAGTTGATTAAAACCATGCATTCTCTGGCTTCTCTAAGAGAAACAATTATAAAGGAACTTAATAGCGGCTTGCGAAATGATGCTCCTGATACTGCCATTGCAATGCGCCAGAAGGTGAGCTATTTTAAACAATCAAGCATTATCATGTACCAGTGTATATACTAATATAGTTTGCTCGTTTCATTAGTGGCGCCTTTGTGAGATCGGCCTAGAGGACTACTTTTTTGTTCTACTAAGCAGGTGTGCATAAGATTTTGATTGATTTTTGAAACTGAATTTGTTTTGGAAGTTATTTAAACTCCTCCATTTCTCTGTATCATGTCTCGTCAATGATTTGAGTAGATTCCTCAATGCTCTTGAAACTATGGGAGGAGCTGATCAACTGGCAAAAGATGTGGGATCAAGAAATGTTTCCTCATGGAATGATCCACTAGATGCTCTAGTGTTGGGTGTTCACCAAGTAGGTCTATCTGGTTGGAAGCAAGAAGAATGTTTAGCCATTGGAAATGAACTCCTAGCTTGGCGAGAGAGAGACCTACTTGAAAAAGAAGGTTATTTCCTTCTCTCACTTATGTCAACTCGTTCTGTTAACTCTGACGTGTAAGGCTTGTTTGTGGTTGTAAAGAATTGCATGCTATTATTATAAGCTGAAATGCTCTTTATTTTTTTTCCATGAAGGGGAAGAGGATGGAAAAAAAATTTGGGCCATGAGGCTGAAAGCAACTCTTGATCGAGCACGCAGATTAACAGCAGAATATTCTGATTTACTTCTTCAAATATTTCCTCCTAATGTGGAGGTACACATTATTCCATGCCTTACATTCTGAAGTTAGTGATGCAACTTCTGTTGTAGTTCAAATTCATTCGGCCACATTCTTTTCTTTCACCAGAAAAAGGACATATCGGACCAAATTATCATTCTTCTGCTAATCTAATTATAACGTTCTTTATCATTTTCAGATTTTAGGAAAAGCTCTAGGAATCCCGGAGAATAGTGTCAAGACTTATACAGAAGCAGAGATTCGTGCTGGGTAAGTTAGGCCTTTACTTCCTAGTACTTAGCATAAGCTGTACAAGCAATCAAATGAGAATGATTTCAAAAAAATTTCTTGCTTATTTTTCTAAAATTTCGTTCTCTTTCTAAATTTTTCTCTGACCATACATGTTGTTCTGTCTTACAGAATTATTTTCCAGATCTCAAAGCTCTGCACTGTTCTTCTAAAAGCTGTAAGAAATTCACTTGGTTCTGAGGGCTGGGATGTCGTTGTACCTGGATCGACTTCTGGAACACTAGTTCAGGTGTGTGGAGAAGGCAAATGAATACACATAACTGAGATTTTGAATTTACTACTTTGTGATACATTTTTCGTTTCTTAGAAGAAACTATCATTTGGTTTCAGTGCTATAGGAATTTACAATTTAATAGATGATGTTATGTGTGAACTTTTCATAAGTACGACTTTTTCAGATACTCGCGTATCACTCATAAGTCGTAACACAGGCTGGAGATGGAACAATTACTGTCTTTTTTGTTCCATATTGGGTGTTACTGCACAATTTTTAACTTACGGCTTCGATAAGAATTTGCATTTGTAAATATTTTTCTGGCTCTTGTGACTGCAGGTTGAGAGCATTGTGCCGGGATCTTTACCATCAACTGGTGGTGGTCCTATTATTCTCTTGGTCAACAAAGCTGATGGCGATGAAGAGGTTTTGACCTACATTCAACCTCACCGTGATTCATATCATTATACTAAAGATTACCCTATAACTTGCTTTTGACAGGTAAGTGCTGCTAATGGGAACATAGCCGGAGTCATGCTTCTGCAGGAACTGCCTCACTTGTCTCACCTTGGCGTTAGAGCGCGGCAGGCAATAACCTGTTTTACCCTTGTTTCCTCTGTGAATTTTTACTAAAGAAGTGCCGTGTTGAAAACTCTTCATTTCGCATAATATTCCACAGGAGAAAATTGTCTTTGTGACATGTGATGACGATGACAAGGTCGCTGATATCCGGCGACTTGTGGGAAAATTCGTGAGGTGATTTGTCCGGAGTTATCATTTTATTGATTTTTTCCAATCTCTCGCTAAACAAGAAAACTCATCTCTCTCCTTTATTGTTTTTTTCTAATATGAACCTTACAGGTTGGAAGCATCTCCAAGCTATGTGAATCTTATACTTTCAACTGAGGGTAAGAGTCGTACTTCCAAATCCAGTGCGAACAAAAAAACGGATAAGAACAGCTTATCTAAGAAAAAAACGGATAAGAAGAGCTTATCTACCGATGATGAAGAATCAAAGCCTGGTTCTTCATCTTCCAGTAGCCTCCTTTACTCTTCCAAGGTAATCTTTTGACATCTCTGCGATTCCGTACACTTGACATTCTGACTGCTTGCTGATAGATAACTTTGATCCATAGGATATCCCTAGTGGAGGAATCATAGCGCTTGCTGATGCAGATGTACCAACTTCTGGTTCAAAATCTGCTGCATGTGGTCTTCTTTCATCTTTAGCAGAAGCCTCTAGTAAAGGTAAAGTTTTCTTGATGTCTGAGGGGACAAAATTGACTGGGACCAAATCTTATGTCTTTCTTAATTACTGTCTGGTTTCTGATGAATATGCAGTGCACAGCGAACACGGAGTTCCAGCATCATTTAAGGTTCCAACTGGAGTTGTCATACCTTTTGGATCGATGGAATTAGCTTTAAAGCAAAGTAATTCGGAAGAAAAGTTTGCGTCTTTGCTAGAAAAGCTAGAAACCGCCAGACCTGAGGGCGGTGAGCTAGACGACATATGTGACCAGATCCATGAAGTGATGAAAACATTGCAAGTGCCTAAAGAAACAATCAACAGCATAAGCAAAGCATTTCCCAAAGATGCTCGTCTCATTGTGCGTTCAAGTGCTAACGTGGAGGACTTAGCCGGAATGTCAGCTGCAGGACTCTATGAATCAATCCCCAACGTGAGTCCCTCAGATCCTTTGGTGTTTTCGAATTCGGTTTGCCAAGTTTGGGCTTCTCTCTACACAAGAAGAGCTGTTCTAAGCCGTAGAGCTGCTGGTATCTCTCAAAGAGAAGCTTCAATGGCGGTTCTCGTTCAAGAAATGCTTTCGCCGGACTTATCATTTGTTTTGCACACAGTGAGTCCAGCTGATCCGGACAGTAACCTCGTGGAAGCAGAGATCGCTCCTGGTTTAGGTGAGACTTTAGCTTCAGGGACAAGAGGAACACCATGGAGACTCGCTTCGGGTAAGCTCGACGGGATTGTACAAACCTTAGCTTTTGCAAACTTCAGCGAAGAGCTTCTGGTTTCAGGAACAGGTCCTGCTGATGGTAAATATGTTCGGTTGACCGTCGACTATAGCAAGAAACGGTTAACTGTTGACTCGGTGTTTAGACAGCAGCTCGGTCAGAGACTCGGTTCGGTTGGTTTCTTCTTGGAAAGAAACTTTGGCTGTGCTCAAGACGTGGAAGGTTGTTTGGTTGGTGAAGATGTTTACATTGTTCAGTCAAGGCCACAACCTCTTTAGAATCTTTTATTTTCTATAAAGAGAATAATACAAAAAATGTCAGAAATAAAATCTGCATTTGCTTCATTACCATACGTGAAGTTATGTTGAATAATGATATATATAAACAATATTGTTAGTAAAGTTTGTGGAATTATAGTTATATTAAATTTATTAAATTAGAAGTCTTTATTTTGCGGGATCTTTGTCTGTTATGTAATTGGGTCTTGTTTGAGTGAAGTTTCTGTTCTGATGATTTGTTTGTCTGCCTTGGAATGTCCTAGAAAATATGTTTGGCGTCAGAATGTCCTGGAAAATGTCTTTGTGATGAGACGGACTCAGATGCTATAGGCTCTTAGCTCATTTTCTTTCATTGGTTGCCTGTCTCATTAAGATCTGCTACATTTGGAGTATGTGGCTCGCTAATTTGCCATAAAAAATGGTATCTCTTCCAGTTCGAGTATATCGACTTCTCGGGGATGGTTTGGAGCGTTTAAGATAATCTAGAACTCTATCAATTCTTTCAGCAGAGAGAAGAGCTATACAAAGGGTTTTTATTCGGTTCCTCTCCAAAGGACAAATAAGATAATTGGTATTCGTTCCCTTAGAGCATCTCCAAAGGGAGGTTCTCTCTAATTTTTTTGATGAGTTCTCATCTTTAATTTGATCAAAAATAATTCAAAATTGATTAAACAAGAGAGAAACGATTCTCTTAAGAGAGTTTTGAGATTTTGTGAGAGGCGGACACGTGTCAGTGGTTGATTGGAGGAAGCATTTTAACAAAAGAAAAAAAAAAAACTCTCAAAGGAAGTGATGAACAAACGATTTCGTGAGTTTTTGGATGAGTCGACGCCGATCTCGTGGTCGTGGACAGACGTTCAACCACCACCGCCGTTGTTTCTGTACCGGAGGTAGTCGAAATCGGAGAGGAGAAGAAGGGTTTAGATTCGATTCAGATTCAGCCGGCGAGAACATGGCACACTGGCGATTTCTCCGCGGGCTCTTCTCGCCGGCCGGGGATGAGCCTCCGTATGCCGGAAGGATGGCCACCGTGGCTGATTTCTGCTTGCGGCGATTCGATCAAAGACTTAACACCTCGCAGAGCCACCACATACGAAAAGCTCGAGAAGGTAACAAAACACTAATCATTCAATTTAAGTATAATCATTACAAGGTTTGGTATAATTAGGAAGTCTTTTGTTTTGTTTTTTGATTAGTTCTATGTTTGGTTTATTTGAATGATGTAATGTTTTTTATTCTTATAGATTGGGCAAGGAACTTATAGTAATGTGTACAAGGCGAAAAATTTATTGACTGGGAAGATTGTAGTTTTGAAGAAAGTTAGGTTTGATAATTTGGAAGCAGAGAGTGATTCATGGCTAGAGAGATTCTTGTGTTGCGACGGCTTAATCATCCTAATGTTTGGTTACTTTGCGGGTTTCCTGTAGTCTCTACCTTGTTTTTGAGTATATGGAGCATGATCTTTCTGGTCTTTCTGCTACTCAAGGTCTCAAGTTTGATCTTCCACAGGTATGATTCATGTTTTAATACCATAGACAATGGATTTTATCAATAGAAGATGGTTAAATAATATGGAATTTGTTATGAACAGATAAGGAAGAAGTTAATGTGTAATGTAGTAGATATGATTCTCGTGATTTTTCAACGTCCTTTATTTAGTGCCATTCATTGGATTTGGTTCTTTTATTATCTCTGCATATTGTGATATCTTTACTTAATGTTGAGTGATTAAAAAGTAGATTAGTATAGAATGTACATGTTGAATAAAAAATGAGGTGTAAAATGTAAACATGTTATCTTCAAGCTGTTGGATCTTTCTGTGTTGGTTTAGTGATATTTTGGTGGTTCTTTATTAGAGAAGGTAGTAGGAAAAAGAAAGGTTATGGTGATGGAGATTGGATTTGTACCAACGTACGAGGATAAAGATGGAGATTGGATGTTGGTTGGTGATGTTCCATGGGACATGTTCTCTTCTTCCTGTAAAAGACTCGGAATCATGAAAGGATGCTCCTGCTCTAGACTCTTCCTTATGATCTACAGAAGATGAGAAGCTTTTGTTTAAAGGAGATGATGACTATGATCGATGATCTCCTTTTTTGTATAATACGGACATATACAATTTATAAATGTTCTTTTTATAAATCGTCTCTAGTGATGTTCTTTTTGTTTTTGTATTTAGATTTGAAGCAGTTTGATGTAAAGATACATGAGGTTTTTGGTATAATACGGACATATACAATCTGTAAATGTACGTATTAAGTAGCAATGTTCTATAAGATCAGTTTCTATTCTTGATCATGAACATTGTATTTTAAATTTCTGAAACTTATACACATTTGTTTAACCAAAGATATTAAACTTATCGAAGTATGCCTACAAATCTTGGGAATATAATGGCATTCGAAATTGAGTTCGTCATCGAGATATGCATCAACAATTGAAAGCTGATTTGGTTGAACATATATGGCAAAACTTTCGCAACAATCAACAGTACAACTAATCGTTATTCCGGTTTTGTTTTTGCACATTTTTTTTAATGTTTTAAAATAATGAATGTTTAATATTTTTATGACTTGCAATAATTATTAAGTTTTATAAAATAAAATATTTAATAATTTTATTTTTTAGGAGAACCCCACTTGAGAACCTACCATTGGACTATGAAAAACTAAAAAAAAAGAAAAAGTTCTCATCTCATATTTTCACAAAATTTATATTAAAAAATTGGAGAGAGTCTCATGCTTGAGAGCTTCCCATTGGAGATACTCTTAGCCAGTCTTTTTCTTTTTTTAATTTTAGTATTGTTTTCTAGTTAATTCGTTCATTGGAAGTTCTTTTACCTTGGTTGTTTGTATGCTTTCCTCTTTTGGGTTCTTTTCTACAGAGATATCATTATTTTTCGCCGGATTATGTTATCGGGATATTAACTATTTCAGTCGGTCATTGTATCCTTCTATGTTTCATTACTAATATTCAAATGAAAAATTTATAGAAAATTTTTAATATCTAATATACTGAGAGATATTTTTGTAGATAAATAATATGTAAAGATTTCACCAAATCCTTCGGATTGAAGAAAAGCTTAACCAAATTGTTTGAGTAAAAATGATGGTTCGGTTTGGGTTTGAGTCGGCCTGAATGCTCGCCCCAAATTTCAGTTTTATTAACCTAAATATAATATATAAATTTAAAAACAAAAATAATAGATAATCTATATAATATATACTCAGAGATATCTTTGGAGAGGAATAATATTTACAAGATTTTTTGTCATATCATTGTGTCACTTTTGTTTTATAAAATAAATTTCGAATCTACGACATAAATATTGATAAATCTTTTTCTTGTCAAAATGATATTGATAAATCTTAGAACTTTGAAAACAAAAAAAATGACAGATTTTCTTTTTTCCTATTAGTAAATTACAGTTGATTCAACAAATCAACTTACAAAACTGAATTACATAATAATCTAAATATTTCTTGCTAAATATAATCAGTTTTATAGTTATAGTTATAATCATTTTTTTTTTGAACACCATAGTTAAAATTATAATCATATATGATTAATTATTTGCTATATTCAAGTCTTTTTTTTTTGTTAAAGTATATATTCATGCCACCAAAAGAAAAAAAAGAGTATATTCATGTTTGTTTCTCACATCGTGTTTTTGGCTAATTAAAATCTCAAGAGATCAAACATTGATTGAACTAAATCTTAAACCCTAAATATTTATGATAAGTGAAAAGGATATAAAATCATCTTAGAGAAAGCAACGGCTGAGATTTATTACTGAAAATAGAAAAGTTAAATAAAACCACTAGATCTCCTCCGAATCCAAAAACACAATCTAAGTGATACTGTCTTTACGTTCCATAAATTGTTGATTCTTTCTCAATGTTTTTCTCCTTTATATATATATATAGTCTGCAATATTTATGAGTTTCATCAACCAAATTTTACTAGAATTTTTATAACATTCTCACAAAGACAAGAGAGAAAAAAAAGATGACGAGAGATCAAATAGCTGAAGAACTTCCAAATTTGGCAGAGTCGAAGTTAACAGCTTTGGTCGTCGATGACAGTTTCGTAAACCAAACCATACATCAGAAACTTTTGAATCGTCTAGGGATTGAAAACGACGTCGTTACAAACGGAAAAGAAGCCGTCGACGTTTATTGTTCCGGCAGAAACTATGATCTTATTCTTATGGACATGGACATGCCAATCATGAACGGTATTCAGGTAACTAATTCATTATATTTTTACTCATTAAATTCTTCGTTACTTGATATTAAAGTTTAAAAATTGAATTGGACACTAAATTTGGTTACCACCTATATAAGAAGAATTATTTCTAGAGAGCAATATTTTTTCTTTTAATTTGTCAAAACATTATAAAATCTTACCATGGTTGTCTTTATGTTAGTTTCGTTTTCATCTTATTTTTATTTGAGAATTCTTCCATCTTAAACTATTTGTAGCCTTGTAGGTAATATAAAAGGTTTTCATTAAAGGTATAATTTGATTTGTCAAAATAATTTTTAGAGATTATAGACTCCAATATATATTATGTATATTTTTTAAACAATGAATATACTAAAAACCGGTCCTGGATTGTTATTTTTCATGAACCTATGAAACATATGTGGCTGAAAAATCAAAAGATTTCATATGGTCTAAGTTAGTAACTGATGAAGTTGTGTTCAATGTTTCTTTCATCACTCTTTAAGAGAGTCATGCTTTCACTATAATTCTAATGGAAGAAAAAAGGATTAGCCTACAGAAAATTAAGATATTATCGATTAATTAGTAGTTTTATCTAACTTTATTTTTAAAGGGATAATTGATATTATACCCAAATAACTGATTGGGTTTTTTGATTGAATATTGAAATATAGGCAACAAAGAGACTAAGGGAGATGGGGATAGAGAGCAAGATAGCAGGAGTAACAACTCGAGCTAACGAAGGAGAAAAGAAAGAGTTTATGGAAGCTGGCCTTAATGATTTTCAAGAGAAACCTCTTACCATCTCTAAGCTTCTCTCTATTCTTCATAAACTTGATTTTTATGTCCAAACCTAATTAATCTCCATTAATTCTTAATGATTTCTTAAACTTATTTCACTACTATTCTGCTATAACATAATTATAATCTTTGTATTTTTATACTTCAAATAGTAATACCAATACCTATTCCATAATTAATAATTTTTTTGAAATTTAGATTATGATTCAGAATTAGGTCAGGTTCATGAGTATTTATCACGATATCACCTTTGCCATTTTAAAAATGTTAACCAATCGGATGCTAGCGAAATGATAAACGCTTCATGGAAATCAGCTATATGTGTCACACTATCACGTGAAAAAGCTAGCGTATGGTTAAATCCGAAGTATCTTGGCTTATGAAAAAGTGTGACACTTAAAAGTTACAACCAAAACTTATTTATGAAATATATATACGTACGCAAGGCCCATGTGTTAGGGTTATTGGCGTTTAGGCCAAGATCTAACATTATAATTCGAGTGTTTTTGGGTATTTAAAGTTATAGGAAGTGATGGTAAAATTAAAGTTCCAGGATGGCGTCTTGTGCTAACATTTTGCGTTCGGAATACATTTTATTTATCAATTTACACTTCTCTATTTTTAACTTTATTGTCAAAATTATATATTTATGTTTGCATCTATAAATTTGATTAAGATCTTGGCTAGTCCGAGGTTTCTACTTTTTTAAATATTGAAGTCGACTCTACCTATGGGAGATAATATTTAATTTTACCTAGGCTGTTTTAAAGGGTAAGTAACATAGGTATTTGTTATAGGTCCAAAGAATCAATTTCAAAAACAATGTTAAAGTAAAAGATCTAATTTAAAAAATTATTTTTGATTGGTTTCCCTAAGGGTCTTTCCAAAAATTGTGATGGCCCTGCTGCACCACGGTCCACGGTTAGGGAGTCTTTGGATGAATAGTTGTTGACGTTCAAATTAGAAACTTAAACCACACAATTGGCCAGAAAAAATAACGTGCAAGGAGTTTTAGGAGCAAGACTCATGGACCGGGTTGAGATTCGATCCACAATATGTTTTGCAATTTTGAGCTAATAATATTTAAAAAAAAAGAAGGAAAGATGGTGTCGAGGGGGTGGGGCGGTTGAATGCATCTAGCAGAACATGAGGGATAGAAGTTGAGTAAACGAGTGTTCATACATAGAATCAAACATTCTACTAAAACATATTTTTCTATCGGGTTAATTTTCATATATATTTTTAATGTGTGGAGCAAATAAATTTATACCGGATTAAGTGATTTTGGTTACTAAACATGGTTATCAAGCTTGATTCGAGCTGAATTGTGAACTTAGTAGGTGATAACTAATAATGATTTTTCCTAACACAGTCAAAAAACTATCTGGAAACGATATGATGGTGTCCAAATAGGGCGGAACCACATTAATGCAACCGTATCACCATATCAAATGGTCATACTCTTAAAAACTGCATGTCCATAGCACTAGGCCTGGAATATTTTAGAAATTTGGAAAATAATTTATTTAAATGCATACGGGTCCCGCAAATTCAAACGGATGCGGACATAGTAGTATATACTCTCGTAGATTTTGCGGGACAGATTTTCTGCGGGTCAAATTTTTTGAAATCCATTGCTAGACGGATCTAGCTAGACAAGTTTGACCCGCTTGACCGTTCTACACCATGTTCAAAAAATCGCTAGGCGCTAGTTGGGCGGCCGGGCACCGCCTAGCGCCTAGACGGAAAATCGGGGATTAGTTTTTGATCATTATATAGTGTTATTTTTATAATAATTTTATAGTGTTATGAATTTATTATACAAATAGGCAATTGATAACATGTTTGCAAAATTTATAAAACAAAAACCATGAAAAAAGTTTAAAACATCTATCATCAATTTTGCGAATTTAATTTCACATCAAATTGACATTCATCCTAATTATATATATTCAAAATACATATATGTATCAAATATAATATATGTACATTTGACTAATATCATCTATTATTAATATGAAAACAGTTTGTTAGTTTAAAAAACTTATTTGAAACTTAAATATATGGACGAAAAAGAACAAAGTATCAGATTTGAACGGTCACTAATAATAACTAAATGACATCCACGTTAAAAAAAAAATATGAACCTAAATATAGTGACCACCAATAAATAGATTTTGGTGGAAAAAAAAATAAAGAACTTAAATATATTCAAATTATTAATTTGACTACTGAATTGATTTCACTTGCCAGTTGCCACGTTATGTGAAAGTAGTATCTCTACAAAACTCAAAATCACAAAGTCCCACATCGGTAATAGTAGGAAGGAAGCATGGAATCGACTTCTTATAAATGACCCTACTAATTGTTTCTATTTGTCATAGTATAGCTCGTGTGGGCTTATGTAGGCCCAATCAATTTTTGAGTTTTGGTCAAAATTCAGTATAAAATTTTATAATAAATCGGTGACTTTTAACCGATTTTCAACGTTTAATTATTAAACGGCCGCAAAATCGGTTTACCGATTAAATAGTCCGATTTGATTAAAATTGCGGCGGTTGACTGCCGATCACCGACTAGGCGGCTGCCTAGGCGGCTAGGCGCCCGATTTTTTGAACAGGGGTTCTACATAATACCATCCATTGATTAGATCAAACAATCCATCCCAAAATTAACAGTCTTGTTCCTATAACATAACCACTAGGATCGGACCCGCGGTCCACCGCGGGAGAATATTGGTTTACATACGTTGCGTTTAATATTGTGTGTGTTTTTTAGTAGAACGAATCATGTAGTATACTTATAAACTAGCTTAGAGCCCGCGGTACCACCGCGGGGGAAGATTTTTTGTTACGTTTGTTTGTGATTTGATTTTTTAACATTGTTTGTTGTGTATTGTCGTTATTGGAATGTGAATGTAGTGTAGACGAATTTAAATTACATATATATAAGACATAGTTATTTGTGTTAGATAGTTGTTATAATAGGGCCCAATATGAAGCTCATCGTTTGATTGGATATTAATGGAACTGGGCTTAGATATTATCAAATAATAAGGTTGCAGTATGAAATGTGTTTGTTGAAAGAGTCAAATACGTGTACAAACAACCGGAAAAAAAAAAAAAAAATTCTGAAACGAAGAAGACGATATCTTCTTCTGCAATGAAATCTAACTATCCTACAGACCCATCATCAGTGAAAATAAATCTAACGAATAAAGTCGATTATTTATTATAATAGATAATCGCGGTTATTAATGATGATTAAAGAAAAATAAAAAGAAAAGACTGATTTAAAGTTTTTGAAAGAGCTAATAAATGGAAAACAACAGAGTAATGGAAATAAATCTTCATTTAGGCGCAAAGATCTTCTTCCCATGGAGAGTTTTGGTGATTGATAAATCGTCTGCTATCACACGATTGACTTTGAAAGTATCCAATCCTTCAAATATATTTTCTTGTTCAACAGAAACAGAGAATATGAATGTTTGACCAATCAATTTTTGGATACGATCAGGAATTGTTGTGTAGGCAGTACTCTGTAAAAACAAAACATAATTCGTTTAAACTTATAGGACTAAAAGTATAATGCTTAATAAAAAGAATGTATAATGAGTACCTCGTTAAAAGGAGCAGGTAGTAAAGCTGATGCCGGCAGGTTGACCATGAAAAACGCAGGATTATCGAAGCAAATCAATTTGGTTTCGCCAGAGTTGTCATTAACGTTGAGATGAAGTTTATACCTGTTAAATAATTGTCGCATTAGACTAACTATGTTGGAAAAACATATATCTCAATACTAATTAAAGAACCACCTTGCCATGACATTAGTGACATTAGAATTGCAGTAGCCACACCAAAAGATTTGTTCAAGACCAGAACTGGACTTATTTGTGGAACTACCAGTGGTACCAACTTGTTTTATCTTTTTATTACATGTCAAGCAGCATAAATATGACCATCCCCAATCTTTATCTATGCCATAAATCTGACACTGAAGATTCACTTGGCCAACCTTAAAAACAAAATAAGTACTGATTATATACAAAATACAAAATAATGTAGTATGGTATTGAAATGGTCATATTAGAACTAACCTTAGTGGAAGCAATGAGTTGTGCAATAGTTGTTATTGGGATGGAACGTTCGTCATGTAGAACTATATCGTAATAGTGTTTGCTTGTGGTCAACCTGGAAAATTATACACGAATATTCTGCCTTTAAATTGATGTATTGCATGAATTGAACTCCAACAAATGTGTTTGATAGGTTTTCATAAAATGTGTTTGAGTTGTGATTGAGAGATGATTTGATCCTATATTTATATTGGTTACGCATAGATTAAGAATAATAGGGTTTTCGAAATTTGTTATGGGAATTTATAATTGTTACCGTGATTTCCGATTGTGTTTTGTTTGAAAAATCTTTAAAAAGGAATTTAAATCTCATAATAATATATGTTCTTAGCAATAGCAGTAAGATTTTGATATATGGTGGGCGAGATTTGCTGGATATTTGGAAGTATAAAAGCTAAATAAGATTTTGAAGATACGTTTTGCATTTAAATCTCATCATAATATATGTTTTTAGCAATAGCAGTAATTATCGTAACAATTATTTCTATGATTCGAATACAAAATAAAGTATGTAATATATTGTGGGCAAGATTTGAGGAATTTTTAGACGTATTTGAGGAAGGTTTGACAAATTAATGAATTAATGAATAAAATTTGATCTCGAGGATAATCCAGAAGATCATATTTAACTTGGTCGCCAATTTTTCGGAAATCAATTTACTATTTTGTAATTATACCGCAACGATGTTAGATTTTAATTTAGGAAGATCCGATTAGCTAAATTCCGGGTTATTTTTTTTTTTAAACCCGACCCAAGTACATTTGTACTTCTCTTTTAATAGTATAGAGATATTCATAATAACGAATTGTAGAGAAAATATAAAATTGTTTATAAATATACCTATCGTATTAATTATGATTTACAAAATAGAATTTTGTGTTTTAAAATTCTAAAATTAGACGATTCATGGGAATTAGAGCAGTCAAAATAGGTCAAAAACTGCGGGTCGAGCCCACATCATCTCACTATGGGGCAGATTTGGGAAAATATATTAAACCCGCAAATAAGCGGGCCACATGGATTAATTCGCAGTGGGTCA